TTTTCAGTACCGTGAAATTCGCGTGCATGCGCAGCCACGTTCGTCATTAATTAAATGACGAAGGAAAGATTGCATCGCGTCACGAGTGGTTCGTTCGAATGTTATAGAAATGATACGAACGCTTCGTGAAAAAAGATCGAACGAATTTCATTGAGGTTTTCTATTACTCTATTCATTTCATAATTGGGGCGTGTTAATGTGTATTCTCGAATAGTAGATCTACGAAGATTGCACATGTATGTTCTCACAGAGTGATGATACGAAAAGACGTATATATACGTCCTTTAAAATAGACGTATTTCGGTTAGTATTTATACAACATCATACAGTGGATGTTTAGGTATAAAGATCGTATATATTCGTTCTTGAAAAGTGAATGATTCAGTGGTTAAATACAGGAACCGTATATATACGTCATTGTAAACAGACAGCTAACTATATCAATTGTATATATATTTTGTTACGTGCATGTTTGAAAACGAACGTTGCATATATAAGTTCTTTAAAATTTCCTAGATATAAAGAACGTATATATACGTTATCAAAAAATGACTGTTTGAGGATGAAGATTGCATATGTTCATCATTAAGAAGTGATAGATTAGATACTAACATAAATTTCTTACAAACTTGAGAAGTACTTATTGAAGTACCAGGTACGTATATATACGACATCCAAAAGTGAACATTTGGGTATTGCAATCATGTACATACATCATCAAGAAGTGAATACTTATATACAAAGGTTGTTGGAAAGTAATCACTCAAATACCAGTGACGTATATATACGACATACGGAGCATACGTACAAGAGTACACATATATACAAGAGTATATATGTATTAAAAAGTAAACGTTCAGATCGAAGATTATACATATAAGTAGTGTTTCGTTTCCTCACACGTTTATCCTACAATTTGAACGAAAGGATCAATACGATGGAAAGTCAATAAATACGTAGAATAACCGTGCGAAGGTATTATGCTTGGCAGTACGGTATTCACAGAGCGGTGCAAAACACCACTGACCATACGGTTGCCTCTAATTGTCAGCTAAATGCTCCGGTCTCTGGTGACAGTGACATGTGCATAAACGTGGGAGATACAGTCAATTCGACGCTGCATTGTTACCAGCAATGTGAACGAACCCTCTATGCACTGTCGTCGCTGTGAATGATGCATGTAGGTCGTTGCCTGTTTCGATATGTCGCATGCGTATACTCAAATGCTATATCCAACATCTATAAGGTGATTCACCTAAGTTTATCATCGAAATTACTTGATAATTGTTCTAACTTTTCAAGCATTTTGCATCTGTTTTTGTGATATTGAAGTTTTGGAATTTTTGCGATTTTAAAGTTTGGAATTTTGGGATTTTGAGGTGTTGAGGTTTTGGGGTTTAGGGGTTTTGGAGAAATTTGCTAATCTACTCCATACACTAATGATTAATCATGAAAGGTCAATCATTGGTTCATCAAGTTAAGAACCAAAGTTTTCTCTCAGCGAATCATTTCATAACACTCTCGACAACGGAAGTGTTTTTCGCAGCTTCAACGGGAAATCGAAGCGGTGTCTCAGATTTGCATCTCCGCAGAGAATTCGACGATCTCACGGCACGAATTCGGAATGCACCGTTCACCGTTGATGCCGTTCGAAAAGCGGAGATCGCGAATTCTCCGGATCTCGATCTCGAGCCGCGCGTGTCCCGCAGACCGGAAACGTCCTCCATCGAGATTCTCTGCGCGCAAACTGAATCCCGGTGTTCCTTTCGACACCTTTTCCTTCCGCGTTAACGTCCTATCAAACACGATGGATCTTCCAGCAATTTTCGAGCGGATTCCCGCCTTTTCTGGAGCAATATGTCACCCGGCAACATGATCGATGCCTCTTCGCCAAGTTATCCAGGACGGTGGTCGTGGCGACCAACTTTTCGGGAGAGCTCGAATTACTGTGGCGACAGGCGACTAAAACGAGCAAACGGCCGACAAATTAAAGGTCTTATGGCATTTTTAACTCTGCACTCCTACGTCGAGGGTACTTGGATTTTATAAATTAGATAGATTGGTTATTTTCATTTATTTACTTGAATGAAAAATATATTTTACGTACTGTTGCAGTACATTTAATTCCTACCTACAATTCTTATGTAGAAAACGTTTCTAACATTTGAACATTCTTTGTCTGTCTTAATGTTGTAACAATAATTAAGTCACCCCCAATTTAGCAAATCCTAAAATTTAATGCTGCAAAAATTCTAAAATCTTGCTTTAACTAAAGCACCACCCTACCGTCCTACCCTCGCTTCAAATTCCCTCTACAAAGGTAAAAAATTAAAAATTTCCTACAACCCCAATTTAGCAAATCCCAAAATTCCATACTACAAAAATTCTAAAATCTTGCTTTAACTAAAGCACCACCCTACCGCCCTACTCTCTCTTCAAATTCCCTCCACACAGGTAAAAAATTAAAAATTTCCTACAACCCCAATTTGGCAAATCCCAAAATCTCTGCTACAAAAATTCCAAAATCTTGCTGTAACTAAAGCAAGATTTTGCTACCTCTACTCATTCTAATCCACCATTTGAAACATTAAAAAATGTCAAAAACTGTTTAATATCCATTACTCACCACAAAATTGCAGAGCGAAAAGTATGGAAGAATCGAAAGAAAATAAAACAGTTTAAAGATTCAATTCATCAATTTTCGTCAGCGACAAGTGCCAGATGGTACTTTCCTTTCACGTCATCAGAACTTTTCATGAATAATCGGTTAACGAATGCGATTTATCAACGCAGCGGCAAACACCGTTAAGGTATAAAAGCCAGCAAACAGCGGAGCCCCATTTCTTCCGAGTTACTTGGCTAAACTTAGAAACAGACGTCTACCAACGTCGTTTGAGGTCAGCTTAATTAAACCTCGGAATGTTTTACCCGACGAACTGTCGTATTGTTGTAAGTTTGCAGATTTATCCGAAGCGGTAACCCGTATACCGCAAACAGAACAACTTAGGGCGGTGATTTGTCACGTTGCTCGTGATATTAATTGGGATCGTTACCGAGTCTCACTCGCAATTAGCGTTCCATCGGATGCTCGACGTCTGACCAAGGAATTCATACAATTTCTAGTCGGATTCGATTGGTTTGTGTGTCTAATTGTTATTCAGACATTTTTCAGATAAATTGTTTTCTAATTTTTACATCTTCAAATTTTTAATTTTATTTCTAGTTTCAAATTTTCAATTTTATTTCTAAAGTTTCAAATTTTCAATTTCATTTCTGAATCTTCCAATTTTCAATTTTATTTATAAACCTTCAAATGTTCAATTTCGTTTGAAATTCGTGAATTGAAAAATTGCTAAATTTTAAAATACTGAAGTGCCAAGTCCAAAAATCCTTAAAATACCCAAAATACTCAAAATCTTCAAAGCCCCAAAAATCTCCAATGTCCCCTAAATTCTAAATCCATAAAATCCAAAATCTCCCATTTCTCAAATCTCCAAATCGTCAAAATCACAAAATTTCAAATTCTCGAAATCCTTAAAATCTCCAAAAATCACAAAATATCCCTCAAACTCCTCAAACTTCAAACTCTCAAAATCCCCTAAATCCTAACACCATAACACTACAAAATGTCTATACTAAAAAATCCTAAAGTACATAAATAAATTTCTGAACCATAAAATTCTTAAATTCCTAAAACCGTACATTCATGCTGTTCATAGAATCGTGATAGACTGCACGCAGATTTATGTGCCGCATCGAAGAATAGAAACGAATGTTCTCCCGTGGGAAGCGATTCAGAAAATCAGTAATAATTCCGCTGGAATCAGGAAACGCTTGAAAGCATTTTATCGATCGATTTCTGGGACGCTGTAAGATGGCTAAGAAGTTCGACAAAACCGCTTGAAAGTTCAACCAAGGAAAAAAGTTGCCACAGTCTGCCAAAGAGTCGACCGAGAAACTTTTTCAAAGGACGCGTCTGATCTTCGCACGTCGTCAAACGTATGGAACGAATTCCTTCATGGAATATCTTCTTATTCTATTTTCTTATTAGATAAGTCTTGCTTACTTTCTTCACTATTTTTTATACATTTGTGTTTGTATACACTTGATTAATGATGTGGTAAATTAGGTAAATCGACAATGTTTTATAACTTGAATTATACAAAATTATTTTGAGCTCGTATGTCACATATGGAGGTACAGGTGGTATACCATAGGTGGTATAAAAGGTGGAACAAACTTTGAAGATAATTATATTTTTCTGTAGAAACGTTAATATTAGAAATTATACTTTGTGTTGTCTTATATATAATTTATACCACATCTGATATTATATGATGTTTTATAAGAAGTGCACACCAAGATTATACTTCCTATAATAAATAATTTGTGTTACATTTAATGTATGTTCTTTTACAACAAAACACGTGCAACTATAAAATTGCACGTTATTTTGCAACAAAAGAAGCGTGATCCAGAAGTTACACGTTGTTTCATAACAAAGGAAGTGAAACCCTAAAGACATATTATTTCACACTGAAAGAAGAATAACTCTGAAATTGTACATAATTTCGCAACAAAATAGATTCCATCGCAAAATTGTACCTCGTTTCGTAATAAAAGAAGTGCAACCCAGAAAAGAAGTGCAACCTAACCTAACCTAACCCTGAATATATCTCATTTCACACTAAAAGAGCAGCCCTGAAATTGTACATAATTTCGCAACAAAATAGATTGAATCGCAAAATTGTACCTCGTTCCATAATAAAAGAAGAGCAACCCTGAATATGTATCTTCTTTCACATTAAAAGAACAGCCCTTAAATTACACGTTATTTTGCTACAAAGGTGTTGATCCATCTGTAGATAACCATTGGAACATCAGGGTAAAGATTAATAACCGTTGAACCGTGTATAGATTTCACTCGATTAATCAAACGGGTACGAGAGCAATCGTTAGCAAAGGAATAATCGTATTTCCGGAGGGATCGAGATACTCACGGAAACGGGAGCCGTGTGAGGTGTGGCTGCTTCCTGCGTGTGGTGAAGTCGACTGGGACTAGGGCTCGACCTTTGGGAACTCTGACCACGTTGCCAGGGGCCTCCTTTGTTATTGCTGAAATCCAATAAAAACAATCGGTTATTGTACTTGTTATAACACTATAATCATTTCCATTCACTACCATTTAAATTATGACCGATACAGGATAATTTATGTACACGCCAAGTCCAAGTGTTCGAAACAATTTATTCTTGAAAATAAATCAAATGTGGTTAAAGGTAGTTTAACTGATTGTTTCCTGACGCTCTTTATGGATACTTTGATTTATATATAGAGGTTTGTAAGGAAGCTTCACTTCCGGTGAGGGTGTGAAGATTTATTGATCTTTTGATTTTTTAATTTGTTAACTAAGTGTTGAAATTTTGTGGTTTCTAAATTTCTGAATTATTAAAGTATTAAATTGTCAAATCTTCAAATCTCTGAACTGCCAAATTCTCCAATCCCCAAATCTCCAAATCCCAAATCTCCAAAGTACCAAATTTCCCAAATCCCATACCTCCTAAATCCCACACCTCCCAAATCCCACATCTCCCCAATTCCACACCACCCAAATCCCAAATCTCCCAAATTCCAAATCTCCCAAATTCCAAATCTCCCAAATCCCAAATCTCCCAAATCCCAAATCTCCCAAATCCCAAATCTCCCAAATCCCAAATCTCCCAAATCCCAAATCTCCCAAATCCCAAATCTCCCAAATCCCAAATCTCCCAAATCCCAAATCTCCCAAATCCCAAATCTCCCAAATCCCAAATCTCCCAAATCCCAAATCTCCCAAATCCCAAATCTCCCAAATCCCAAATCTCCCAAATCCCAAATCTCCCAAATCCCAAATCTCCCAAGTCCCAAATCTTCTAAATCCCCAAATCTCCCAAGTCCCAAATCTCCTAAGTCCCAAATCTCCCAAATCCCTAATCTCCCAAATTCCAAATCTTCCAAATCCCAAATCTCCCAAATCCCAAATCTCCCAAATCCCAAATCTCCCAAATCCCAAATCTCCCAAATCCCAAATCTCCCAAATCCCAAATCTCCCAAATCCCAAATCTCCCAAATCCCAAATCTCCCAAATCCCAAATCTCCCAAATCCCAAATCTCCCAAATCCCAAATCTCCCAAATCCCAAATCTCCCAAATCCCAAATCTCCCAAATCCCAAATCTCCCAAATCCCAAATCTCCCAAATCCCAAATCTCCCAAATCCCAAATCTCCCAAATCCCAAATCTCCCAAATCCCAAATCTCCCAAATCCCAAATCTCCCAAATCCCAAATCTCCCAAATCCCAAATCTCCCAAATCCCAAATCTCCCAAATCCCAAATCTCCCAAATCCCAAATCTCCCAAATCCCAAATCTCCCAAATCCCAAATCTCCCAAATCCCACACCTCCCCAATTCCACACCTCCCAAATCCCACACCTCCCCAATCCCACACCTTCCAAATCCAAAATCTCCCAAATTTGCAAACCACCTTCCCAACCGTACAAATTCGCAAAACACCAGTTTCCCAAGCGTTCCAAAGATCCAACTTTCCAAGCTTTCCCCAAGGAAAGAAGTTTCGCACCGAGTTTTCACGCGGACATGTCTCTAACCGTTGATTGACAGACGAGTCGTCCCGGAGTTGGGAGTCGGGTCACGAGGCAATGATAGTTCATCGATCGATTCCACTTTCTATACTCTACGCGATCGAAACGGGACCTAGAAGATTCCCTCGCGTGACTTGGGAGTGGTCGGGATGAAGTCGATCGTTCAGGAATAACGACTGCATCTTCGTCTTCAAGCCGGAAGTCGTTCTTCATCGACGAGTTTCTAATCTCAGTTTTCAGATTATGGAAACTTAGGATTAGAAGCTCAATTTAAAAATTCATAAGCTTGAAAATTAGGAAATTTCAGAATTTATATATTCGATGCAGAAACTTGATGGCTTAGAACTTTCAGGAGACAGAAATCTCAGAACTTGTCTAGTTGATAAATATATTTTCTATTTTCAGCTGGTGCGTCAGTCAGAGCTTAGCTAAGTCATAGCTAACTAATACTGACGTCATATTAAAATACGTAAGACAAAATGAAATGTTAAGTGCTGCAAATTTTGTTGGTTCTTTATGTCTGAACTGCGATGTGCGTCACAATGTTATTAGAGAAAATGTCTCCCAAAAATTTAAGGACCAGAAAATTGAAATTTCCCAAAATGTTCAAACGTTCCACACTCGATCAAAGGATATTTGACCACCCTTAGTCAATTATTGCCCAGTTACCTTTTACCTGACCACACATTCGCGCCGTCGTTTATCAGTCGATCAATCGTTTATCACAAAACGATCAGTAGTGAACCGATAATGACATATTAGGTCAGAGTGAAAGCATCGTGGGAATTGATTCGTGTGGCCCGAAGAACAGGAAATGTTCGACAGTAAGGTCACGTGAAGGCGATGGAGGTGGGACGATTAATGCCATTAACGTTCAACTTTATAGGCTTTCCCAGAACACCGTCATTCTAGTCAGACCTTCACACGGAATGCTCGTTATCTTTCGGATTTCTTTTCATGTTCATGGCTTAGGCAATTTGCCAGTTGCACGTGGGATTAATACCCGCGCGTTCTACGTGAATACCTTGATAGGGTAATTTAACGTGTTCGAGATCGTTAACGGACATTTATGTCTCGCGAAATAGGGTGCATTCAAGTTATTCCAATGTAACAAGGTTTTTCTAACGATTCCAATAGTGTTGATGTTCTCAGGCTGTTAGAATGCCACTTGGCATACTTGTCTACTGAAAATTAATTTAGTTGCGTTTGTTTTTAGTATGGTCTTTTTTATTGTAGCTATATTATCTTTTTATGTTCAGGAAATATATTGTGAAAATATAAAATGTATTTGCAAAATGAAAATATATAATGTACATATAAAATGAAAATATAAAATGTAAATACAAAATGTTAATACAAAATGTTAATATGAAATGTTAATACAAAATGTAAATATAAAATGTTAATGTAAAATGTAAAATATAAAATGTACATATAAAATGTACGTATAAAATGTTAATATAAAATGATAATATAAAACGTAAAGTATAAAATATTAATATAAAATGTGCATATAAAATGTAGAATATAAGATGTTAATATAAAATGTTAATATAAAATGTGCATATAAAATGTAAAATATAAAATGTTAATATAAAATGTTAATATAAAATGTTAACATAAAATATTAAATATAAAATCTATATATAAAATGTGAAATATAAAAACATATAAATGTAAGATACAAAAACATGAATATAAAATAAAAATTGTAAAATTTATGAATATATAAAAGCTGTAAAATACATGCACATATAAAAATAAAAGATAAATTGCAAAATAAATAAATATATAGATGTTAAAGGCAGTCAGTAAAATGAAATAAGTTAAAGCAATACATATATTGTATATGTCCGAGTAATCCAGACAGCAGCGTTTGATGAAGACCCTCGTTAACGTGACCGGTCATTAATGCGTCTTACATTAACGTGTTAATGTAAGAACCTTGCGAGTTTTACCAAGAAGAACATTAACATTTCACGAAGTGGTACGTCGACTTCAGTGGAGCACGTCGATATTTGCGTATCGAGGTATCTGGCAAGTGTCCGAAGGCAGCAGAGAATTTCAGCTTCTCATCGTCGGAAATTGAGATATCGAAACGTCGCGAAACGATGAATCATCGACGCGTATTCGCGAGTTGGGACCCGAGGCGGATTTCTCGAGAGATCTTGCTAATCCGGTCGTTATCAAGAGTTTCGTAATGATCGGCGTGTCGGCCCGTTTTCGCGTAGAAAGTGCAAGGAACTCGGTCAATATTTCCAAGGCTGGTGGAAACGAGACGGTTTCCGTGCCGCCACCAAACGTCGTCGCAGAACTGCGGATAAATATCTCCGACCGAACTACAAGAGTTTGTACTTATAATTATCTCGAATGTTTAAACTTTGCTGCTCGTCGACACGACGCGCTCATTTCGCGTGCTTTCGTTATTTATCCGATCGTTTGAGAACAGGATCGGTTACTTCGTTTTTTTCGTTGATAAGATTGCTCTCGAGCGGATAAGGAACGTTCGTACATTGATTCCGAATGTTCGGGGAAAAAGTGGACGGAGAAATGTTCGAATAATTTAGCTTATTAAAATGTTTAGAACGAGACTTTACGCTAGAACTAACCGGTCATTTGATCTGCTTGGAATTTATTTTAAACTACAAAAATTATTAGGATTTCTTGGAATCTGGATTCTTAAGAAATTATAGTCCATGTATTTTAACCTAACAGAAATTAAAAATTCTATATTTTTACAATTAAAATTTTTGACCTCACTCTTTCCCAGAATTTTTCTACTCCATATAATAATTTTTCAGAGGGTGAAAGCGAAAAGAAATTTTTTCCGAGCCACCCTATACAGTTACAGTCCAATATTCGTTGTTAAAAAAGAATGTACTTTGATTTATAATTTATGAGCAATATGGCAATAAACCTTGATCAATATGGCGTCACAAAAACACATTAATTCAAGCAACAGTAACACAGAAAATATATCGACATCAGATACTGACAATTTATTATAACTGATAGGGTTAAACGCTAACGCTACACACAGGTTTCGATACATTTCTTTCAATGTTATTTCACGTATTATCTCGCGATCAAATTCTAACGAGATCCAATTTGCATGGCTTTTCGTTGTAAACACGGTTCGACCGGTGTCGCAATTAGTTCGAACACGCACGACTATTCGATCCGCGTCGGAAAAAGCAAGATTTATGGAAAAAAAACTGTCCGGTCCAGCCGTGACAGTTCGCGAAACTTTTTGGTATTTCTGTGCTCTGTAACAAGTTACAATTCGGATAACATTGATTTATGCAAACACGGAACGTCCAACGTGCTCCGCCGACGATAACGGAATTTTTTATCTTGTTTCCATAAAATCTCGCAGCTGGCGTAACTATGTGTGTACAGTCGAGAGCGAAGGCTTCCTAGGGGAAATATAGCGGACGAGGGGAGGAGGAATTCTTTAGTCATCTCATTTTTACGAATT